TTTACCCAAACATTTTTATGATTCATTCGAAAACGATGAGCTGAATTCATTCGGGTTATAGTGATGGAGATAGTGAGTAGTGAAGCTTGTTATGGTGATGAAGATAGTATATGCGATGAAAATTGCAAATAGTGAAGATGGAAGATGAGGAGAGAGGGAGCCAGTGGGAAGATGAAGGGGAGGGGAGAACAAGATAATGATGAGGGGAGAAAAGGGAACAAAATGATAATGATGGGAGAGGGGAAGCAAGAGGATGATGAGGGAAGAGGTGGTATGAAACGGAGGAAAAATTAAAGGTGTCTGTGTGTGTACTCACCTAATTGTGCTTGCGGGGGTTGAGCTCTGGCTCTTTGGTCCCGCCTCTCAACCGTCAATCAACAGGTGTACAGGTTCCTGAGCCTATTGGGCTCTGTCATATCTACACTTGAAACTGTGTATGGAGTCAGCCTCCACCACATCACTGCCTAATGCATTCCATTTGTCAACCACTCTGACACTAAAAAAGTTCTTTCTAATATCTCTGTGGCTCATTTGGGCGCTCAGTTTCCACCTGTGTCCCCTAGTGCGTGTGCCCCTTGTGTGTGTGTGTGTGTGTGTGTGTGTGTGTGTGTGTGTGTGTGTGTGTGTGTGTGTGTGTGTGTGTGTGTGTGTGTGTGTGTGTGTGTGTGTGTGTGCGTCTTCAAAATGAAACCCTCTAACAAGCTCTACTAGCCGACCACCGCTAGAGAGATGGCACCCCTCAGGAAGACGGAGGAGCGGGAAAGAGGAAGAGAGAGGAGGAGAAGGGAACTGGGGGGGGGGGTGGGAGGAAGAGACAGACTCAGACCCCCGAGCAACGTTAGAGTAGTGACCATATATGTAAAACGTTAATTCAGATAAGGGTTTTCGTTTCATATATAAAAGTGTACAATACTGGAGGTGAGAGAGAAGCGGCCGTCACCGCCCAGTCGCTACACACAACACTCCTCCGGCTGGGACAATTACCGGTTAAATTTGGAGCAGGGAGCGGGGTTCCGGAGGAAGAAGAAAACGAGGGAGGGAGGGAGGGGAGACTCTTGGGGTTATGTTAAAACTTAACTAATAACTGTATTAATATATTAATTAATCTCCAGAGAGTTACAATAGTAATATCATTGTGTTATGTTCTCAGCAAAATTGTATACATGAGGATATATGGGGCAAGAGCGCAAGAAGGTTTCTTAAGGATCTTAGTTCCAGGCTCATTGCCACTACAAGCGACCCTAGAGCGGCAAGTTTCCTCTTCCAGCGCCTCAGTGTCGCGATCCAGAGGGGGAATGCCTACTGCATTCTCGGCTCCTGCCCGGCGTCGGAGGAGTTCCAAAAAAATCGACAGCCTCTAAGAAACAAACTTCCTCTTAATGTTCACTTTTTGTAAACAACCAGATATGTAACGGCATAACCTTGTATAATAAAGTGAACAACACTAAAAAGGGGGGGGATGGTAGAAGTGATCACTCATACGTGTTCAGAGTTAAATGGCAAGTTTTTCTCTGAATGCTCTGTGTTCCCTTCTCCAAGGCTATGGGTCCCTACAATTGCACCATAGGTGGTAACCCTTCTATATATATATAATGTAATGAGAGATATAGTTATCTTACGTGTAAGGAGGAAGCAGTAATAGATGCTTGTGTAAGAGGAGAGTGGAAGCCAAGAGGTGGTCCAAGACTGGGCCACAGGGAGACACTGAAGGTGTTGAGTGTACCAACACTAACCTGTGGTCCGTTATGATCAATAATGGTTCACAAAAACACTCGTGTACAGCTATTCTCAGGCGAGCTTCATGGGAGCTCTCGTCTCACTGCCCTCACATTCGCTTATCCACCTGTAACAGCTGATTTCTCTGCATCTCTGCATTCCGTTCACTCAGCTGTGGCAACCTCGCCTCTGCAGAGCTACGGCATTAGGTCTAAAAAGAACTATGCCAGGTGAATCAAGCGAACCGCCTTGGGATATAGTTCACCCCTAGCGGACTGGAAGTGAACTACGGTTGTCATGGAAACGATGTCAACAAACCGCTGAGGTGCTGAGCGCGGGTACCGGCCAATGGGCGCCGGACCGCCCGACAGTAAGCGGGCCTTCTCACTACGGGATGACTCAAGTTTAGACATCAATCTAAACTTCAATTTCAATTTCAATCTAAACTCATGTTATATGAAATGGCAAACCACCTTATTACTAAGGATAAAATACCTGAAATCCTTGCACACTATCCATATTTCACTCTCAGTAGATAAACGAGATTTGAGATTAAGAAACAAGTAGTGTATTGTGAAGACTAATAATAAACAGCAGTTCTCCTATGACTGTAATATCTCCATTGCTCAAACAATTATTTATTAGCGATAAGACCTACCATTAATGTATGATGATTTTCTGTAAATATATAGCTCTTGAAATAGAACATTCTCTGTAACTAGCTGACATTGTAATTATAAGGCGTGAAAGATAGATGAAATTGTTAACGTAATAATCTCCGTTGAGGTCTGATAAAGACCTTTTGTGCCCTCTGTAATCCTTTTTTGCGCTACCGCTCACAGGAAGAGTATGGGGTGCACAATAAACTAGCCACCTCCGGCGGCAACAATCACTCTGGGAAGCACAGATGGGCACAGAACGATAATCAGGCATTGCAGCGCATTGAATTCTGAATTCAATATCCATAACCTGTTCTTTTAATGGAGTACATACAAATCAATAAGCACAAGCATGCAGGAATGTTAATGGCACCAGAGCACATGTATGCACATATACATAATTAAAATACACACACACACACACATACTCCCACATGTGGTAACTCGTACTGGAGCTACGGTATTTAACTCTATTAACTTGTTACTTATTTGCATTCTGATCGTGGAAATCACGTGTATGTTGTGGTTAGGTTAGGTTAGGTTATCTTCTTGAGGTTATCTTGAGATGATTTCGGGGCTTTAGTGTCCCCGCGGCCCGATCCGCGACCAGGCCTCCACCCCCAGGAAGCAGCCCGTGACAGCTGACTAACACCCAGGTACCTATTTTACTGCTAGGTAACAGGGGCATAGGGTGAAAGAAACTCTGCCCATTGTTTCTCGACGGCGCCTGGGATCGAACCCAGGACCACAGGATCACAAGTCCAGCGTGCTGTCCGCTCGGCCGACCGGCTCCCTCTAGCATAAGATCTGATCTTTAGCATAAGGATAGTAGGAAAGTTGAATGAACTAAACAATCAGGTTGTAGAAACCAACTCCATTCATAATTTCATAAATATAATGGGAAAATTTTTGTACAGAAGTCCCTGTATTAGACAACTGGCAGCTACAAGAGGCTGGGCCCAGGAGCTAAATTTGATAGCACAGGCACTAATACGTTAGCGTACACTCAACAAGAGAGATATATCTGTACACCTGAACCGGTGTGTACACTGTGTTTTCATTCATAAAGGTTTATCTCAAGACAGGAAGCGAAGGTGACAGGTGCTCGGGGGACACCACACACACACAGGTGAAGCACCTGGGTGCTCCTGCTCCTCCAACCTGAATACTATTCACGTCAATGAAAATCCACGCCAGAGTCTGTCATGGGGTCATTGAAGAGTCCGGGGCAGAGTCTCTGAGTACGGGGGCAAAGTCTCTGAGTACTGGGGGCCGAGTCTTTGAGTCCGGGGGCAAAGTCTCTGAGTCCGGGGAAGAGTCTATGAGTACGGGGCAGAGTTTATGAGTACTGGGCAGTCTCTGAGTACGGGGGCAGTGTCTCTGAGTACGGGGGCAGAGTCTATGAGTACGGGGGCAGAGTCTCTGAGTACGGGGCAGTGTCTCTGAGTACGGGGGCAGAGTCTATGAGTAAGGTGGCAGTGAGTACATTGTGTTCACACCACCCACCACCTCACACTCACATAACCTCCTCCATGCGTGCCTGCTCACAACCTCCCTTTCATTTATCAACCTTTTCTAAGCCCCGAAGTTTTTTGTTCTGCTTTGCGGGTTCTCCTTTTGTCCTGCTTCAAGCGGAGAGTCGCCAGTGAATCTCCAAAGAACGCAACAGAAGCCTGGCCGAAACGCTATGTGTGTTAGTAGCTTTACAAGAGTGAAAAAAATACTAATACGATATAAATACGCTAAGTTATGAACACAAGTTATGAAATACGCAAAGTTATGAATTTTCCCAGAGGTTAACGCCTGCTGCCTGACATGGAACACTTACGGGCATGCTAGATAATCATGCAATCATCTAGACTATCAACCAATCATCTAGATAATCATACAAGGAGGCCTGGTCGACGACCGGGCCGCGGGGACGCTAAGCCCCGGAAACACTTCAAGATATGCTAGAAAGTGTTGTGACAATATTGATCCCACATGTGCTGAAGCACCACGGCAACATCCACATGACAATAATTTAACTTCAAACGAATTTATGGCCAAACTGTGCATTTGGCAGAGCTGGTGTTGTATGACTGTAACAGAGCGGCTAGAGTGCTGTCCCTCAAGAGTTTCCGTTGTTTTCCTCTTGATAAATCTTGTCAATGGTATATAAATAACAATTCTTAGTACATGATCGTATCGCGCACAGCGCCCCTCGGGAACTACGTCGTTATGAATGAGTGGTACAAGGGGCATCTCCTGATTCAGATATAACATGTTAATAAAACTTTTATGGATGATGCGTAAATGTTTACATTCACTAAGTAAAGAACATTGTGATGAATGAGGCGCGTACGGTACATGTAACTAGTGGCTGAGATGGATTATCTATATGGCTCGTGAAACTGTGTTGATCATATCCGGCAGATACTTCTCTCCCTTGTCTCTCTCCACCTGTACACACCTGTGGATAATACTACACTCCTCCCTCACACTTCAAGTCCCACTTACACCTCTACCTGCCCATCTGCCACCTATTGGCTTTATATAACGCAGAATGAAGAAGGAGCAAACTAAATACAAATTTCTGACGCTTGGCCTTTGACATCTACGAAGAGGATGTGTCGTCATGTCCGCTGAGGGATGGCAAGGCGCGGGGCTAGTGTCAAGAGTATCCAGGACTGGTGAAGGAGCGCGCGTCCTCCAGTAAGGCACTCGCCCTCCACACCGACCTTTCTTCCCTTCTGCTTCGTTACTATACCCCAACAGCTACACGCCCCCGCGCTCTGATGGTCTCCCGCCGTAAAGGGTAAGATAGAAACTGCTACCAGAAAGTCTTAAGCAAAGGGCTTTCCTGTCGTAGGGAAGGTTATATCTTCAAGATGTAGAGCCTCTTGCCCTGCAACACACCAGCTAAGGACAACTGTTGTGCATCACCGATACACTCACTCTATCTTACGTGCTCATAAAGTTGACCACAATTGCTGGCATTTCTCGATGTGCAGAGTTCACAAATTACCCAGAACACGATGCTCGGGTGTGGCGCCTTCCGTTCCCCCTCTTTCTGTGCCACGCTCCACCTCCCTTATAACACCATCAAATTAAAGCAAAAAGAAATATATATATATATATATATATATATATATATATATATATATATATATATATATATATATATATATATATATATATATATATATATATGTTTCATAAATATGACTGTATTCTGTATTGATTTTTTCTTGTTTAGGGCTTCTAACCCTCTGAGTAGTGTTCTAGCATCTTGGTTTAATTGGAAGAGGAGTTCTCCAAAAGTCATCTTCGTTCGAGGTGAAGAAAAAGAAATAAATAACTGTAGAATGTATTACACTTATTATAAAATTTACACAACGTTTCTAACCTACATGGTCCATTCTCAAGTGATACAAAAATACATCGATTGATAAAGATTAAGCCACCTAAGAGGTGCCTAAGAGGTGGCACGAGCATGAATAGAACGTCAATAAGAAATTGATTGATTGATTGATGAAGATTAAGCCACCCAAGAGGTGGCACGGGCATGAATAGCCCGTAGTGGTGGCCCTTTCGAGCCATTACCAGTATCAAAAGATGATACTGGAGATCTGTGGAGGCGCAACTGCACCCTGCGTGACGGGAGATGTCTCCCGGACCAAGTGGTGACCAAATGGTCAATAAGAAATTACAGGGCGTGTTAGATTTATACCATTAAGGGGTCAGGTGAAGACAAGTAGATTTATACAAATGGGTCAAGAATAAGACATGAAGGGGAAGGAAAAGGTAAGGCGTAAAAGAAGAAGGCGAAAATAGGGGACGAAGCACATACGAAGATTAATCAGGTGTAGTGGGCGTAGCATGTTGAGCAGTGTCTTCTATGTTGGCATCTTCATGTTCCGGTCTTGTTCTTACTCGTTCCGGTCTTGTTCTTACTTGTTCTTGTTCTTGTTCCGATGGGTTGAGTGAACAGTTCCGTAATTTGGGTATTTATGGAAGGTTGTTATATTTTTGTGGATTGCTTCAAGAATTTGTAATCTTCTTACATCTTGGGTTTTGTCTATTATGCAAGTGTTTTTATTCAACATTTCTCTTGTTAGGGTGATGTTATGGGCTTGTCTCATGTGAATTTTTGGGGGCACCTGATTGAAGATGACAGGTCAAATGCCTCGTCAGCTTGGTCGACGTCATACCTATGTACTTAGATTGAAGGCTACATCCTTCGTGGGGGCAAGTGTACAAATATACCACCTTTGATTGCTGTAGAGGGTTCTCCGTCGGCTTCGGGCTGTTTTTAATAAGGAGCTCGATAGTCTTCTTTGTTTTATAGAATATGATCAGGTCTACGTTTTGGTTAGGAGTAATGCTTTTTATTCCTTTACGGATTATCTCTTTCATTATTCGTTCTTTTTTATGTTCACTGTGCATGGTGGATTTATAATATAATTTTATTGGAGGTGTTGTGGTTTTTGTTCTACGTTCAGGATTGTACCATGGATCCAGGTGTCGTCTTATTGATGACCAGACCACACACTAGAAGTTGAAGGGACGACGACGTTTCGGTCCGTCCTGGACCATTCTCAAGTCGATTGTGATTGTGACCATTCACACAATCGACTTGAGAATGGTCCAGGACGGACCGAAACGTCGTCGTCCCTTCAACTTCTAGTGTGTGGTCTGGTCAACATATTTCAGCCACGTTATTGTGACTCATCGCCTGCATGTCGTCTTATTGTAATGTTTATTTCTGTGTTGCAATATCCTTTGTTCACCAACACCTGAGTTGTTCTTTCAAACTCTCTACTCACGTTGCTCCATTCAGAGCGATAGGTAAGAGCTCGACGAATATAAGCGTTGAGAACACTGGCTTTGTATCTCTGGGGGCACTCACTCCTACCGTTCAGGCATAACCCTATGTTTGTAGGCTTAGTATATACGCTGGTGCTTAGAGAGGCTCCTGTTTTTGTTATTAGTACATCCAGGAATGGCAGACTGTTATTTTCACTATTTTCATGTGTAAAACGGAGTACTGACTCTCTCTCTCTAGATGGCTTTTTAGATCAATTAGTTCATCTGGGTCTTTTACTATGACGAATATGTCACCTACATAACGGCATTATACCATTGGTTTTTGCCTACTACTAACGACTCTATCTTCGATGGTCTCCATGTAAAAATTAGCGAATAACACTACTAAGGGGGAGCCCATTGCTACTCCGTCTATTTGTAGATACATGTCCCCTTTCGGGCTGATGAAAGGAGCTTCCTTTAGGGGTGCTCTCGGCTCTGTATACTCATATCAGAGTCAACCAGTCATATCAGTCATCCAGTCATATCAGAGTCATCCCTGTATACTCATATATCAAAAAAGTCCTCAGTGGTGATGACTATTCTGTTGTCTTCTAACTTATGAATGTCATCCAGAAGTTTGAAATCGAAATGCTTCTGGACGACATTCATAAGTTAGAAGACAACACAAAAGTCATCATCACTGATACACTTCAGACTGAACTACTAACAGATGCGGGGAAAAAACGAGGAACATACTCATCAACAATCTTAACCTAAAGTTTCAAAGAACTCCATATACAACTTTCTCAAACTGGGGAAAGAGGATGAACAATTTTGTATATGGAGTTCAGTCCTCCCGGTTGGTCGTCTACTTAACAAAATAAAATCTATATAAACGGGTATATGCTTAGAATGACGGTTTATATATATATAAACATATATTTATTGGTCCCGCCTCTCAACAGTCCAGCCTGTCTTATATACCCGTATATATATATATATATATATATATATATATATATATATATATATATATATATATATATATAAAGCTGAACAATGTTACCTTCAAAAAGTGAAAAAGTTAATTAATTCATTTTTTTCTTCACCTTGAAATAACGAAAATGAGTTTTGGAGAACTCATCTTTCAGCTAAGCCCTGATGCTAGGAAAATAGTTAGAGAGATAGAAGCCCTAAATCAGAAGATAGTAAATACAGAGTTTGCGGTCATATTCAATGAGACATGTTTAAAAGAATATATATAAGAATCTTCGTGATTCTTAAGAAGGAATAATGACACTTAGTGAATCTGGCCGAAACGCTTGTGCGCGCTACCTTACCTTGTGTTGGTTTCTGGGCTCAGCGTCCCCGCGGCCCGGTCCTCGACCAGGACTCCTAGTAGCTGGACTGGTCAACCAGACTGTTGGATGCGGCTGCTCGCAGCCTGACGTATGAGTCACAGCCTGGTTGATCACAGTCTGGTATCAGTGGCTTTGCATTAATGTAAAAAAATTCCAATATTATGTAATCTCACAAACCCATTGTACCTTCTTGTAAATAAATAAATAAATACATAAATTAAATAAAACAAAATCTAGGTCCAGTTCAACGCCTTCTAACACAATGTATGTTAAAAATCTTGAATAAACACTTCATGTGTTATCAATGTTGTATAAACTCTCTTGATGTAATTGAATGTTTTATAAACCTAAAAAAACAGTTTTAATTCCCTTACAACACTGGAGAAATGTCGGTGATTATCAATATCAAGTTATGTTATAATAGTGTGTTTGTGTCCACCAGGGCCGGTGATGGCTGGGGGGCCGTTCACCTCACCCTCCTGCTGGGGTTCGCTTACATTATGGCTACCCAACCCTCAGTCATACAGGTACGTGCGCTTTATGTCCTTATCATTGTGTATGGGAAACACAGCTGGAACTACTCACATAAACACACACACACACACACACACACACACACACACACACACACACACAATCGACAGGGAAGACTTCCTGAGACCTGGAACTTCAAGAACAAGAGGTCATAGATTTAAACTAGCTAAACACAGATGCCGAAGAAATATAAGAAAATTCACCTTCGCAAATAGAGTGGTAGACGGTTGGAACAAGTTAAGTGAGAAGGTGGTGGAGGCCAAGACCGTCAGTAGTTTCAAAGCGTTATATGACAAAGAGTGCTGGGAAGACGGGACACCACGAGCGTAGCTCTCATCCTGTAACTACACTTAGGTAATTACACACACACACACACACACACACACACACACACACACACACACACACACACACACACACACACACACACACACACACACAGGGAAATCATGCCTAACAAACCTTTTAGAATTTTATGATAAAATAACGAGGATAAGACAGGACAGAGAAGGTTTGGCAGACCGTATATTTCTGGAGTGCCAAAAAGCCGTTGATAGAGTACCGCACATGAGACATGGCCGGGTGCTCAAGAACTTGGCTCTTGATAATAACTGTTGACACTTTAAGTATTTCTCAGGGACAAAACATGACGACTGAAGCCACCAGCTCCAGTCATTCCGACGACAGTAGTCCCAGCACCAGCCCCCCTTCCACTGGTCCTGAGAGCTCCGGAACAGCACAGGAAGGCACTACAAGTAGAGTAAATACCTCAGAAGTTGACACTGACTCTACTGAAAGCTACAACAGTCTCGCCACGGAACAAAGTAAGTGAACACCGGGCAATGTTTACTGAAGCCTATATCACGGTTATCGTCATTTCCTTGTGTATGTCTATAGGGCTTACCGGAACGCTGTTATGACTACTGAGAACCATCACTGTTGACATGCAGGTTAAGTCTATACTGACAAGACAAGACAAGCAACTAGCGTTATAATTTATTTAAAGTACTTTGCAAGGGATGCTTGTGAGTGACACTGGTTTGTAGTTAAGTGCTTCTTCTCTATCTCCTTTCTTGTAGATTGGCGCCACATTAGCCTTCTTCCAGCAGCTGGGCAACACCCCCCTTGTAAGGGACTCTTTAAAGATTAGCACTAGAGGTGTGTTGAGGGCCTGTACTGCTTCTGTAAACAACTATGGTGATACTCTATAAGGCCCAATATCTTTAGTTACATCCAGTGGTGCTAATTGTGTTCTTACTTCCTCCGCTATTACCTCAATATTTACAAGTTTCCTCTTCAGGGGGCTGCTTCCTCATCTAGTTCAGGGAGCTGTTCAGGCTCAGTAGTGAACACCCCATGGAAGCTGGCATTGAGCTCCTCAAAAATTTCTTTATCATTTTCTGTATACTGGCCTCCCCTTTTCCGTAACCTACGGGGAGCCGGTCGACCGAGCGGACAGCACACTGGACTTGTGATCCTGTGGTCCCGGGTTCGATCCCAGACGCCGGCGAGAAACAATGGCTAGAGCCCTATGCCCCTGTTATCTAGCAGTAAAATAGGTACCTGGGTCAGCTGTCACGGGCTGCTTCCTGGGGGTGGAGGCCTGGTCGAGGACCGGGCTGCGGGGACACTAAAAACCCCGAAATCATCTCAAGATAACCTCAAGATAACCTGGTCATTTGGTCATTCACTGTCATTTTCCTTCTTATATGGCTATGTAGGAGCTTCGGTTGTCTCTGTTTTGGAGGCAACATAATTTTCATAGTTAATTTCTGCAATTCTTCTTATGTTTATGTAGTCATTCCTGACCCTGTCCTATCTAACCTGGTTTACCTTTGTCCTTTGCCCTTTGTATTTCCTTCACTCCATCCTACTTTTTTTATTTTGGCTCCTGAGACTGTCTATTGAACCTCGGGTTATTATATGGCCTACTACTTTTTTCCCTTAATAGTGGTATGAATCTCTCTTCTGCCTCTTTGCATTTTAGTTTTACTTGGTCCATCATTTCCTGGACCGTCTTTCATCTGAGTTCCCTCATATTCACACTAACTCTTTCTTTTATTTCCTCGGCTTTGTTCGTAACTCCATCAGCGTTCGTGTACCAAATCTTTAGACAGTTCCTGAAGATTTATATATATATATATATATATATATATATATATATATATATATATATATATATATATATATATATATATATATATATATATATATAATACATGTCACACCACCACCACCAAACACCACACCACACCACACACCACCACACCACCACACCACCACCACCACCACACCACCACACACCACACCACCACCACACACACCACCACCACACCACCCACAAACACCACCACACCACCACCACACCACCACCACAAACACCACACCACCACCACACCACACAACACACCACACACCACACAACAACCACCACCCACAAACACACCACACACCACCACACACACACCAACACCACACCACCACCACACCACACCACCACACAACACCACACCACCACCCACCACACACCACACCACACACACCACCACACCACACCACCACCACAAACACCACACACCACCACACCACACACCACACCACCACACACAAACACCACACCACCACCACCTACACCACCACCACCACCACCACACCCACACCACCACCACAAACACCACACCACCACCACCACAAACACCACACCACCACCACAAACACCACACCACCACCACCACACCACACACACACCACAAATACCACACCACCACCACACCCACACACACCACACACCACCACACAAACACCACACCACCACCAACACCAACACACCACCACCACCACAACACCACACACCACAAACACCACCACAACCACCACCACCACCACCACACCAACACCACACACCACACCACCACCACACAAACACCACACCACCACCACCACCACCCCACCCACCACACCACACCACCACCACCACAAACACCACAACCACCACCACACCCACCACACCACCACACCACACCACACCACCACCACAACCACACCACCACCACAAACAACACACCACCACCACAAATACCCACACCACCACCACAAACACCACACACCACACCACCACCACAAACACCACACCACACCACCACACAAACCACACCACACACACCACAAACACCACACACACCACCACAAACACCACCACCACAACCACAAACACCACCCACAAACACCACCACCACCACAAACACCACACCACCACCACAAACACCACACCACCACACACCACACCACACCACCACACACCACCCACCACACCACAAAAACACCACACCACCACCACAAACACCACACCACCACCACCACACCAACACCACACCACCACACACCACATCACCACAAACACCACACCACACACCACCACAAAAACCACACCACCACAAAGCAACAGAAAACCTTAGCAACAGGAAACAGCGAGTAACTGTGAGGGGAGAGACATCAGAGAGGCAAGATGTAACCAGCGGAGTCGCACAGGGCTCTTACTTGGACCCATTCTGTTTCTAACATATGTAAATGATCTTCCAGAGGGTATAGACTCATTCTTCTCAATGTTTGCTGATGATGCAAAACTTATGAGAAGAATTAAGACAGATGAAGATAGACAGAGACTACAGGATGACCTGGACAAACTGGAGGAATGGTCTAGAAAATGGCTGCTAAAGTTCAACTCAGGAAAGAGTAAAGTAATGAAACTAGGCGAAGGGAGCAGAAGGCTGAACACAAGGTACCATCTGGGAGGTGAAATCCTGCAAGAGTCAAACGGAGAGAAAGATCTGGGGGTTCATATCACACCGAACCTGTCCCCAGAAGCCCACGTTAAAAGGCTATCACCAGCGGCATATGCTAGGTTGGCCAACATAAGAACTGCCTTTAGAAACTTGTGTAAGGAATAGTTCAGGACTCTGTACTCCACTTTTGTCAGACCAATCCTGGAATATGCAGCTCCAGCCTGGAGTCCATACCTAGTTAAACACAAGGCAAAGTTAGAGAAGAGTCAGCGGTATGCCATCACAGACTTTTCCCGGAACTGAGAGGCATGAACTACGAGGAAAGGCTGAAGGAGCTGAACTTCACGTCCCTGGAAAACAGAAGAGTAAAGGGAGACATGATAACCACCTACAAAATTCTCAGGGGAATTGACAGGGTGATCAAAGACAAACTCTTCAGCACGCGTGGAACAAAAAAAGGGGACACAGGTGGAAACTTAGTACCCAAATGAGCCACAGAGACATTAGAAAGAATTTTTTCAGTGTCAGGGTAGTTAGTATATGGAATGCATTAGGCAGTGATGTGGTGGAGGCTGACTCCATACACAGTTTCAAATATAGATATGATAGAGCCCAGTAGGCTCAGGAACCTGTACACCAGTTGATTGACGGTTGAGAGGCGGGACCAAAGAGACAAAGCTCAACCTCCGCAAGCACAAATAGGTGAGTACAAACACCACACCATCACCACAAACACCACACCACCACCACAAACACCACACCACCACCATAAACACCACACCACCACCACAAACACCACCACCACCACCCCACACCACCACCACACCACCACACAAACACCACACACCACCACACACCACACCACCACCACCACTATAACCACACCACACCCACCACCACTATAAACACCACACCACCACCACAAACACCACACCACCACAAACACCACAGCAACACACAGGAAGCTTCAGGATATGTATCACCCAGTAAGAGAGGAAGTCACATATCCTGGCAGCCCATTACGCCTCCACTATAACTTTGAAGGAAAAATCACACAAAAAATTGTTTATTAACAAAAAAATGGACACGAGTGCATAAATATTTCACACTTCATTGTCTCTAGTGGTCACTCGTCTGCCTTTATAAGGAAACTGCAGAAGGTGTATTGGCCCCTGCGATACTTCTACGGGCTCACCATAGCCCGTGTTACTTGGAACTTTTTGTTCCAGGTAGCGAATCTTTAACAACAACTGCGATACTCCACTTAACCTCATCGTTCTTGGTTATATATTCCGTTTGTCAGCCTAACTTGTCTGTATTTCACCTCTGCCTCTGAAAATGCTGACAGGTTCAATGAAACGCATCTGAGTGTGAGGCCATATAAAATGGTGAAATAAACTTTAGAGAGTTAATTTTTTAACTTCTTAGAAATTGAGAGAGAGAGAGA